TATTAAATGTATACTATTTTAAAAGTTTGTGAATATATTACTAACTAAAATAATGGAAGTTATTCTTTAGTAAGTAATCTTTAAACATGGTGGATGTTGCATGTCTGGAAAGAAAAAGTGTCAGGTATGGAAGCTGTCAACAGCAGGGTTGACACTTGACTTTATTCATCTAGTTTTGTCAAGCGGTATAGTATATTTCGATCCTAACAACATTTGGATGAGGTCTGATGCCACACGTGAACCTAACGGTTTTTGTCGATCTACCATTAGCTGTAGTCGGTGTCGACAGAATGATAACCGAAGTAAGTCGACTTCGAAGGCTGTTATATTGGCTACAAGCTTAAGTATCGACTTGTCTTTTTGTAAGTTATCTGTGAAATATATAATAATGTATACATATTTTTTTTACTTTAGCTAATTTCTACACTATTCTAATTATAAATTTAATTTTAAATATGCGTCTTTTAAAATTTTTTGTTAAAAATGTACATTTTAAAAGAATTTTTTCTCCAGTTTATAAAATTCTTATTGCTATTCATAAAAAAATTATCGATATTCCATTCATTCTATCGTTTTCATTTGCGAGTCAAATATTTGCTCCTTTTAATCTAAAAAAAAAAGTGTTATTGATAAAAAGTAATTTGTATTTTTCAAAAGAAAAATCGAAATATTCTCGAATAAATTTGATATTTGTAGTAATTGATTAACATAAGAATACCTAATATTTTATTTATAATATGCTTACATAAGAAATCGATATTTTATTGGAATGAAGGAAGAAATTTAGATTGGATAAGAAGTTACTGGCCCAGTGGGACAAAATTTATATAGGATGACCACTTAACAGTGTGTTGTGGTCATCCGAGGTTGTCTCTCGAGTTAAGAGAGCCAGGTGGTGAGTCCTGTCCCTGTGTCTTTGGTCAAAGGATCAAAATAACATTAACTGGATAGGTTTTCGGACGGTGCGTGAGGCCATTCAATCTCCTTTTGCTCTTATTGGATCTGTAACTCCAGTTTGTGTTCAATGTACATACTGTTGTCTGCCATTCTCAATCCTCCCGAGGATGCTTAAGATCTACTCGCAACCTCAATCTTACGCTTTAGCCTCAAAATCTCCAGTTGTCTAACCAGGAGATTATCCGTCTAACTCCTGTCATTATCTTGTGTACATTTACTTTCGCTTTTATGGGTGAATTTTATCACTCTAGGAATTAATATTAAATATGTTAAATGTTGCATCAGGTTAATTATTATGCTGTGTTAAATGAAAACAATGAATTGTTCGCATGTAAATTTTATTTAAAATTTCAAGTAAATAAAAAGTTTGTATAAGATAAAAATAATTTAATATCTTATTCTCTATACTGTTTATGTAACGCATTACTTTTTAATATACTTAGTTATACTGTTAAAATTAACAAAGTTAATATTGGTAAACGTTTTTAATTACTGTCACAAAGTTTAAGAATTTAATTTAAAAAATTATTTTAATTAGTTACGAAAGTGCATTCTTGAGACGTATAAAAAATAAAGGCTATAATTGCGTCCAAACAGTTTAAAATATAAATATAAGGAAAGAAAAGTTTTGCTTTCAACCAAATTTGGTCTGATAAAAACCACCACCAGGTGGAAAAGACTTTTCACTTTCAAATCAGATCACCAGCCATCAGTGTTATTCCCCCCTACTTAAAATGCTGTTAAGGCTTACGTTCAACAGTTGCTACACACACTGAGGCCCATTAAAAAGCTGTTGTGTTTGGACGGTGAGAAAACCATCATTAGAATGGTGTCAGGGAGAGATTTAGAAGCATTGCCAGAACGTGAAGGAAATGCGAAAGATTTTCAGCGGAGACTGCACCAAGTGGGTCGACGTATTTCGGAGTTTTGTTGAATTTCAATGGTCACAGGTCGGGGTGATGTGATCTATCGTTTTGAAACTTTCAAATATACAAGAGTCAGGTCTATTGGATTGTACTTGCTATTCCTATGAATGTATCAATGTCCTGTACGTTTGCTCTATACCAGATACACACTGATACCATTTCTAACACAGGATTGTAAACTTTATGTCAGATTTGTTTTATGTTTCTACTCAAAATTTCTTATTCGTATACTTTAAGTGCTATATTCTAACAAATTCGTTTTTAATCTAATTATGTAATATAATTTATTTTTCTTTGTAGTTTAAGATAAGGAAGATAAATATTTACAATAAGATATGCTACTTTAAAAATCGTTAATGATAATTAAGTTAATAAAGAGAATTTAAAGTTTATTTTTTATTTTTTTTTGCGTAATTAAAATTTTGCAGAAAATATTTTTCATGTTATCTCGAATATAATAAGTTATTATAAAAATATATAATTAATTGAACATAGGCCTATATGTTTTTAAATTTTGCTATGAGCATTAATTTTTATTAATCATTATAACGTGTAAAATTTTATTAGTCTACTAATAAGTTATTTAGAATTCTAATGTTTTAATAAGTAAAAGTTATTAAGGATATTTTTATGCATCTTTAATAAAATGGACGAAAGATATAAAAATTACAAAAATTATATATTTTTTTAATTGAAAATCTAAGAGTTTTTATAATTAAGAAAAATGTTTATTGAATCACGCAAGTGAAAGAATAATGAACATTTTAATTTTTTGCAGCCACACGGTAAACTTAATCAAATATATTTTGATTATTTTAAAAATTTTGGAATATTTTGTCGGTCGGTTTTATTTTCGATACTAAAATTTATCAATTGAGTTTCTAGTATAGAAACTATTAAAAAATTTCGATATTTCACAGCTTTTTATTATAAATAATTATTAATATGTTTTAACTCATAAAGACTTAAATCATACAATATAGTATTTTAAAAATCATTTATAATTTGAAAAGAAGGCTTAGATTGAAAGCAGTTTAAAAGTACAAATATCTTTGTAGAAATAAGTAGGCTACTTAATTATCGCCTGCATTTTCACTTAAAATAACTATGCAGGACGGATTGTTGACAAGGCACCTGATAAGAAGGATTTACAATATGTGGGAGAAGGCTACTTGCTCTCTCTGAATGACAGCATCGACCAAATGCTGTCACATCCAATCTCTTCACGTGTCACCGAATATCTTCTTTTTAATATATCTTATAGCTTATTTATGGTCTCGATTTTATGTCAGTCCTATAAAATACATTTTAATGAAATTTATTCGTGTTATATTCTAAACAGAAATATTAAAATATTATTTAATATATTTTAATAATTCGCTTCAATTACGAACATTAATGTTTTTTATAGGAAGATGAAATGTTGAAAAAAAGAATGTCGTGTAGTATTTTGTGGCTTAATCGTTCATACGTAAAATGCATTCAATTTTCTAATTAATAGTATTTGATAGTCATGATATTGAAGCACTATTGATATTGAACCTTATTTCAATATCTTTCAGTTTGAAAAATTGATAAATTTATTTTAATCGTTATATAAAAATTTAAAATCATTACTTCAAGAAAAAACAAATAAAATTTTGCCAAATATATATTTGTTTTATTAAATTAAAGATTTTATTCAATGAATTTTTAAGGAATTCTATTAAATAAATAGTAAAATTTTCCATAATTAAAAATGTAACATAAATATTTGCTGTATCTAAAAATATTTGTGTTTATTTTGATTAAAATTATATGTAAAATATGATGATAATTATAACAAACGTATTTTGTTTTTTAGTCTATATTATGTATTAAGAAACTTCGATTGTTTGGTTGCAATTGTAACAGAATTGGAATATTACAATAAATACTTAAAGTTCGTCATAAATAATAAAATAAATGATAAAACAATTTCAATAATTCAGAATTATATTCTAATTTTAAAAACAATAACACGAATAAAATTGTAAGTTAAAGAACGACGTTAATTCAATCCTAAAGATTTCAATATTAAAATAGGTATACAGTATTTAGTATAGGAAAGTGAAAATAGTTAATCAATCCTATTTCTCACCTATTGTAATACTATAGCAACAGTGAACTGATTTCTACAACATTACTTAATCATGTTCCATTTGTATTAAACCAATGCAAATAAATTAGTTCATTCATACGCGTTAGTCACAATTTTATTTTTATTGATAAGAAAAATTCTAAATTACTGAAATTCTATAATGAATTTTGTAACAAATTAGAAAAGAAAATTCATTCCATTTATTATATGCTGTATAATCTATTAATAAGAAGTAATAAACAGTATTTAAGATAACTCTCAAAATTAAATTTGCACGCATGATAACTAACTTTTTTTCGGGATAGATATAAAGAATTATTTTTTATTTATTTTCTAGTTTAGAAGGTTAAATTTATTAATTGCAATTATTCGGATTACCTAATAGGCGCGCGCCTAGAGCCTCGTCATCTCGAGGGACCTCGAAAATAACAGCAAAGAGATAAAATGTCACTAGAAATTTAGGAAATGTTTAAAAGATTTGTTATTATTTAAGGATTTTATTGTCTTTTAATATAAAAAAGCACTTTTACGTAAAGAGCCTTATAACGAAATTTCGCCTAGGTGTTCAAAGGAACATAAATTAATATCGGATACATGTAAAACATATTAAGTTTAAGTTTAAGTTATGAATGATGTATAATTAGCTATCAAAATGTTTTTATTTTAATTTTACTGAACCGTAATTGTATAGTGTAAAAAGTACTTTAAAATGTGTCCGTAACTTTTTTTATCAGTTACTTTCTTATCAGATTTTATTAAAACATTTTGGCAAATTCTAGCTTGTGCAGACAAACTGACAGACCATTGTTAATGGTATTTCTGCGCTGATGTAGGAACGTATGTAAAAGTATACACATTCCCCAATATCTCGTACCAGAAATTTAATGAAGTTAAAAATCTAAGTTAATAAAGTATCCATGCAAATAAGTTCTGTAATTTGTCAAAATGAATATTTAATTGAACTTCCAGATATTTAAAATTAAATGATAATATAGTACTTTTGCAAATAAGTTCTGTAATTTGTCAAAATGAATATTTAATTGAACTTCCATATATTTAAAATTAAATGATAAATGATATTTTAGGTTTTCCAAAGAAGAGGGGATTATAAACAACCTAAAGATTATTTCTTTAAAGACTGGGAGCAATATTCATTGGGATTTGGTAAATTAAATGAAGACTTTTGGCTAGGTGAGTAATCTGAAACTAGTTTTATCTGATGAAGTATGAACAAATATTTAATTTGATAACCTTAAATGTTAAAGTTTAATAGCTAAATGTTTATTTACCATATCTAGGTAATGACAAATTATTTGCTTTGACAAATCAAGCAAACTATTCTCTAAGAATCGATATGAAAGACTTAGAAGGAAATAAAAGATATGCATTTTATAAAGAATTCTGGATCGAAAATGAAAGACAACAGTATAAATTGCATGTTTCTGGTTTTGAAGGAGATGCAGGTAAAAACTTTTATTATAATAAAATGAAATAATATTTTCGTTTATAACGTAAANTAAAATAATCCAATTATTTATTTAAGTAAATTAATAATTATTTTATTGCATATCAGGTCAAAATGGGAATTGTAAGTTTCTATAGGTGAGATGAATTTTATATTGATTGATGTAAGAGAAATAGAAGTTAAAGTACTTAAAATTATCTGTTCTCATCGTTTTTATTTTCTCTCTATGAAAGTGAATAACCAGACATTTTGTAATTTAATCAACTTTTAGTAGATATATCAGTTACAACAATTAATTAATATAAAATACATGATAAAGATAGTAACGACTCGGTTTATATATTGTAAGAAGTTAATTCATTTAAATTATTTAATCAATTATGTTCCGAAATTCAGAATGAGAATACGATAGCACTCGAAAGCATGAAAATTTAACTAAAATAACGGTTAAAGATAGAAAATTTTTAGTAACTTACACAATTATTGATATTTACTGAATATCGTATCTATACATTATAAAGATGTGAGTTTTCTTAATAGAAAATTATCTAGACTTCTTAGTGCTCTGTGAACGGAGAGGTTTGTGACTCAATTTGAAACTGCCCTGAAAAAAATTTTAAAAAATGAATAATATAAAGTTTGTACAAAGAGAGTTGTTTTTTTAATTTTATTTTATAAAAGAATGAAATCATAATTATCTTAATCCTCATAATTCGAAGTTTAGACTATTTACAAAAAGTCAAAATTTAGTTAAAATTAGTTAAAGTTAAAATTTCTTTATTTTTATTTCATTAAATCAGATATTACAGAACTAAATTAAACTATAATTAGAATGTTAGAAATAAAAATTAATTAATAGATAGCAGTTGAAATCTAATAATGAATTCATTTTAATTGAAAAAAATTGACAGTTTATTTATTTTGCGTTCTCTTGCCATTTATTTTTAGTTTACAAAATGAACTGATTCTACAAGTGCTAGACTTAAGATCAATACAAAGAATCGAGATTTAATCAGTTTTCATTTCTATCCGTTAGACAATGTTATTAATTAAAACTCAGTTATCTATCTGAATAGTTTTTATAGTAAATAATAATATGTAATAACTTGTATCATTAAATAGTTAGAATAAAATAGTGTATAATTAGTTTGAATATAAGAAAAAATATTGTTATTTTTTCTTATATCCAAACCAAATTGTTTATTATAAATGATAAAACATGCAAGCCTAATCAGTATTCAAAACAAAATCTGATTTACATGGTTAATAAGCTAAAAAAAGCTAAAGAAAAAATGTATAAATATCAATTTTTAATGTCCTGAAAAATAAATGTAATAGTTGTGAAATAGTTAATGATGTCTGGCAAGTAATAAACTGTGATAAATAGTGATCAAAATTTATTTTTGAATACTATTATTATAACGTTGCATGAAAATGAAGTTTCTTTCATCATTTTTGTTCATACTTAAGTTAACAACAATCGAGATAGAAATAAAAAAAAAAGTAAAAAATTATGATTAAGTACAGTAAATGCAGATAGCTTTGAATTTATTTAATTTCATGCTTAAAAGTTACTTTTATATTTCCACGAATATTTGATATAACACGAGACTCTATGAATGTTATAAGTTCGATTACTACTGGATATAACTGTAGGTAATATACAGGATATATGTATGTACTGTACAGTACTGTACGGTACTACAGTATATATTTTATTAAACAGTTATTTTAATTTATAGTAACTTTTGTTATAAAGTTCTTTGTTATACAGTGCATGCTAAATGTAATATATATATATAAATGCATGTTAATAATATATACTATATTTTACGTATACAGTTGCATTGCAACACCATGCATATACTAATATAACTATTAATGAATAAAAATGCATTAAATAGTTCTTTGAAATATACAAATTCAGAAAAAAAAATTATTTTAAGTGCTAAATTATTTTAATTCGGACATTTCATGCAATCACAATTTCAAATAAAAATAAGATAGTAATTTAAATACGATATCCATAATTCTTCTATATGTGTAGCATATGTGATTGTATATTTTGACAAAGAAATCGATGTCGATTTGATTCGTGTATTTTATTCGTGTAACGAATCAAATCGACATCGTTTGAAACGTATACTGTACGAATATTCGTGTACACATTTTAAATGTCTGGAACGATAGTTGACTAGTTTTTAGCTGATTTCTATTTGTATACACAGAAATAGAATTACAAAGACGTATCAAAATTTACTGTAGTCTATTTATTTGTCCAAGACTACAGATTTTCAGAACGATTAATTACCAGAAATGGAAATTAACTTTTTGTCCGCCTTGATATTGCAAGTTATAAAATGATGTTTTGTATCCAGTTTACAATTAACGATAATTGTATAAATAATATAACCAATCATATGTTTAAAAACGTTAAAACAAATTTTAAAATATAAAAATGAAAATATTTAACCGCGAATGTTTGTATAAATGTTAAACCACAGACTCTATATACATACATACATATATATAGGCTATATAATTACGTAATATCTGTATAACAGCTTTTACAGTTTAAAAATAATTTTAAATCACTTATTTACTAAAATTAGATTTTAGTGTCATTCAGCTTTTATATATGACATTATAAAATTTTAACATAGATCTGTAAACCAATTTACACACTAATTCGCTAATATTCTAATATAAAGAATATTTATTGTTGATTAATTTAACTATAGTATAAAATAATACTCATAATTTTATATAAACTATTATAAATATAAAATTATAGCTTTCAAGAATGTTTTATTCATAAATGTAATACACTGACAAAATTTCTCGAATTAGACTCGAGTGATATAACGATATTCTGTAAGAAAGCGCACATTTTGCTTTTCCTGAAATAGGTTTACTCGAGTCTAAATAGTCGATTTTCCTAGGGGGATCTGATGAATGCGAGGTGAATCGGAAAGAATTACACCTCTGTAGTCAGTATTCCCATGTAGTACTATTTATATTCAACCAAAAACTTCGCGCGTGCTTTTGTTACGAAGAGAATCCCGGAAAATTGGCGAATTAAAGTTTGTTAAATTGTAATAACGATGACATTTTGAAGTTAAGAAAAATAAAATGTTTCTCAGACGGCAAGAAAATATATATTGTTAAAAAGTTTTATAATTAAGTTTTGAATTTTAATAGTTAAATATAAGATGAAAATTCTGTAAGTATAAAAAAACATATCTTTACATATAATTAATTTAAGTATTGAAAATATCCGTTCTACATTTTGTTTTACATGATGTGTTATATAATTTATTTCCAGTTGTATAATTATATAAATCACAATTACTTTATTATTTTAATGTTTCTCACTTTTATATAAAGCATTTTGTATTTATAAATTTAGGTATTAAAACTTACACTGTATAAATATTTAAAAAGTATTTTTATTCATATTTTTAGCAATTTACAGAGATTGTTTCTGATTCTTAAGCTTGTTAAAAGTTTTATTCAGGCGTTTTAAACCTCCATCTTATTTTATCCGTCTTTACTAAATGGCCGCTTCAGTTGTAGTCAGTCCAGTATACCAAATTCGAACTTCATTAAAGTATCATAAAAGGCGATGTCAAATTAACAAATTTCTTTCTCTTAAAATCAGAAGTTTATTATTGATATCACATTGTGAAATTGTTCCTATCATTCAATGGCTATTGGACTATGTTAAGTTTTCATTGGCATTTTCCGAAACAATGAATAAAAATTTCTGTAATTAATATCAATAAATTTATTTTAATTATAATAGAAGTTCCAATATTTGCAAATTCGATTGTTTTAAATCTGAGCAAAAATTAAATTTATTAATTCAAAACTTTTTATTAACAGTTCTTCCGAATCAATGTCGAAAAAAAAAAATTCGAGTATAAGTTTAAGATTTGTCATTATTATTTGTTCAAATTAATTTAAAAAATTGTTTGGTTGTTTATATAAAGATACTTTTATTTAGGGATTAAATATATTTACTTTCATTTAAATATTTAAAAAAGTATATATTATTTTAATTTTAATGATGCTAGTTGTTTATATAATTCAACTTTAGTATAGCTTCTTTATTCGTTTTAGCGAGTCGTGTATGCCTGGATTACATATTTCTATTCATACTCCTACGATGGAGCCATCTCTTAGCAAAATTTGTAGATTGTTACCATGATAACGGTTTTAAAAATATATTAAGATTTCTTTAGATTTTATTGAACTTAATTTAAAACATCATCATCAATTACATTTAACAAATATTAAAAAAATATAATTACTACTATGTTTCAATTTGCTGAAAACAAAATAATTTCATGTCAAGATCATCATTTTTAACTGAAAGATTGACTCTAATTATTATATAATAAAATTCGTTAATGTAAAGTAAGCCGAATTTAGGAATTAATATTTGAGAATTTTAAACTTTAAACTAATTTGCAATATTTCGAAGAACATTTTTTTAAAATAAAAACATTTGTATTTTAGAATGCCATTAAATTTCTATAAAATTTAAGTCTAAGTTTTATAGGATAAATTTTGGGAGACATGAAAAAACATTGCAAGAATATAACAAAATAAATCCATTTATTTAAAACAAAATAAAAATTGTCAAAAACATTTAAATATCAGAATTCACAACTCTTCAATTGATTTTTATTTTCTTATTTCAAACTAAAGTTAAGATAATGCATATTTTTAACAAAATCATTTACATTGATAAAATAATTCTATTATTTTGTTTTAATTATATTAATAATTTTAATATGAAAAAGTTTTTGACCATTTAAAATTCAAAGATAAACTTATTACCAAACCAATATTTTAAACTTCTGGATTTGTGGCTCTTAAGTTTTAATTTATAACAAACAGATTTATACATTTCTTTTAATCTACATTTCTTAGATATATAGTTAAATTATGAATAAATTTAAGTAATTTCTATGTATAAAATCTTTTTAATACTCTTTAAATATAATGTATGATAGATTTATTGGAAACAATTATAAAAAATTATGTACAGACTATGAAAATTATATATGTATATAAACTAGAAAAGCTATATAACATATGGCAAATAAACATTTTATTAGCTTTTAAGTGTTTCATATTAAAATCCATAAAGATGCAAATATCCAATTTTATTAATGAAGATGTATATTATTTTAAATAGCATGTTTAATATTTCACTTTATTGTAAGTGTATTTACTTTCCCAACAATAAAAAAATATATATATATAAATATGAAATTACATGAGTCTAAAGCGAAAAACATTATAATATTAAAACAAACATGTTCAAACTCACTTTGTATTTTACATATACAAAATTTTAACACATCAACACAACATTCCAAACAGATTTATAGATTTATCAAACAGAAAATTATGTTCAAATATTAAGATAAAAGATTGTCAGGAATATTTTTACATTTTAGATAAGTGTGTCTGTAAATGTAACATATCTACATTATTTCTTTACATTTACTAAAATTCACAATTTGATAGTGTATAAAACATATTTGAACAAAAATACAAATATACAGCACGGAATTAACCCTTCAAACATAAGAAAAGTTTTGGTAAAGTAATTAAAATGTCCATACTTAATTACAAATTTTTCACTTTAAATTTAAATATATTGCAATTCATGATTGCATAATTGTTTTAATGTAAGTTTTAAATATTTACATTCTTTTAAAATTCAAAATAAATATGCAGACCATCAAAAATGCACAAGGGATAACTGTATTTTTATAAAATTTCAAAATAAAGTTATTTTTTTATCATTTTATTAGAAAAATAATACAAATAGAATAAAGAGAGTTAATTCAAATAATATTTTGTGTTTTCTTATTCTAAAGAAATATCTTTCCTATATTTAATTTTGCTAATTAAATATTCTTTTACAATTTCATGAGTTTTTAAAATTTATAGTTAAAGAATATTTATTATGGAATGTTTAGGGAAGTACCTTGTTTATAGCAGTCTTAAAAAGAACTCTATATTTTTATTTATCATTATTAATAAATTAGAATTTCTATGCACAGCTATAGCTATTTCTCAAATTTTCCTACTTTAGATTATTTTCTTCAATCTATATTTATAATGAAATTAATTATTTTTGATAAATGAACTCCCTTCTACCCCTTTGTACATTTTTGATAAATGCATATTATTAAGTAATATAGCTATATAAATATATATATATTTCTATTATCACAATATTTATTTATTACTGCAAATAATGGTTTATAAAATAACAGAAATTATTTACATTGATAGTAGTAATCCATATAACTATATACTACTGCAACAATATATATATATATTTACAGATATGAAAATATGAAGCAAAAATATATAAATTTTCTTCTAAAATTTAAATCTTTCTTAATATATATTCTTGAATTTTGTACTTATTAAAATACTGCTTGGTTGTATAGTTATAAGAATTATATCTATAATTTACATTTACTCATTATAATTATCTAAAAATTGTGTTTGAATATTTATAGTATTAAAAAGTATTTTTTTAATTTTTACAGGATGAAAAGTTTTAATTTTGGGTTAAATTTTTCTAGTGAATTTAGATGTTTAAGTTTGAATGCAAAAAAGATGATGCAAATCCTTAAACTACCTATATCTCAGCTGTCTGTCATATTCTTTATTGGATGATATGCTGGTAAGTCCTTATTATTTCTACCTGTAAAATTACATAAACATTACATTTTTAAAGAATTATATTATATATATGTTTTTATTTTCTGCTTTAAAGAAAATAATTTATTTTAAAGAACTTAATGCAATCTTATCCTGAAATTTCATATTAAAATTTAAAATTTTACATATGATCCATCATATAAAATTAAAAATAGCTTCAGATGATGGAGTGTTATTTATATTCTCAATGCAATTTTTAAAGAATAATGTTAAATAATAAGAACAAAAAGTTTTTATTCTTATTCTTATGAGCATTGTTTACTAAAAGAAATAGCTTCATTTGACAATGAAAAAGAATGTATTATTGGACTCATGATATTTTAATGATACAATGAGGTATCTGGAATGGATAATATTATAAGCTGGAATCCAATATACTGTACTTGATTTAAATACTTCTTATTTTGTTTATAGTTATTTTATGTTAATACAAAATTTCATGTTTCTGCATTGAAATAAAGTGGTTACAAACACAAAAATAATGATAATATCAAATAGCATAATAATGTTAATTGTGAAAATTTTTTCAAATCATTATGCCAAAGCAAAAGTGCAGTTAAGTATTACAAATAAATACAGAATAATATTTATACCATATTTATTGTAAAAGCTATTGCTAATAGCCTTTACAATAAATAGAAATGATTGAGGAATTTTCTTAAAATATTAAATAATTTTACATCTTACAAGAATTAGCATTACAGATGTTAGTATTTTATTTTGAAATAAAATACTAATTAGAATGTTATATTAACATAAAACACTACCACCACATAATTACAAAGTCAAATATAATACCAAATTCTTGTAAATTTCTCAAAGTTCTTAAATTATCTTTGTTTTTTAAGACTTATTGATTATATTTGTTACTATTATATAAATTAATTACAAAGTCAACAATATATGAGTTGAATAATTGACTATATTTTTGTAGCTCTGCATCTAGTTAAACTATTCTTAGAGCAAACTGCAAGCTAATGAGTTACAAAAAACATCTTATTGACTTCCAACAGTGGATTTAATACATTAAAAACATTTTTGACCTATTCATCTAGTAATATATGTGTAAGCAATATCATATAATATTTAAGATTATTGCTAAACTAAGAATTCAAAATTTTACAGAAATCTTGCATGTCATTGAAAATTCTAGGAAAATTCAATTCTTCAGTTTTTTAAAATCTTGCTTACATGATAATAGATCATATTGTTTGACAGTCGAAAATTCTGTTTTGTTTTTTAATCACTAATGAAAGAGATATGTAAAATTAGCTTCATAGATAACATTATCTTTACTTGCTTATACAAAACACATCACAAATTTTATCAGAAAACTATATAAATTAATTATTGTAAATACAGAGAAAAATATATTACTATGTATTTGGAAAAATAAATTCATTTAAAATTCTAATTTTTATGAAATTACAACATATGGTTTTCATTACCTAAAGGAAATTCATCAGAAGTATTTTGATATTTTTCTGAAGATGTTTCAATATTGGTCCTATTAAATTCTCTAAATTCTTTTATTAGTTTCTCAACAGAAAGTTTTAGATTCTGTAATGATATTTTCAAATTTCAGCTTTTTTTCATTTAAATTTTTTCAAATAAATATTAAAATGCTCAAGATACTTACTTTATATTCATTAAAATTATTTATCACATATGTTACAGTCAAATTTAATAGTGAATTGAAGGTTAAAGAATTTTCTTTAAGGAACAAATTTTTTTCAGACTCAGTCATCTATAAAAAAAAAAAATAATAATAATATTAAAACAACAATTAAAATTTTTTAAAAAATTTTAATTAATTTTTTCAGGAAATTGGAAAAGTCTCATAACTGTTGATTTCCACCCCTAACAATAATTACCCACAATGTGAAGTAAAACAATTGAAAAAATTATAATTATTTTACATAAAAGAAAGACAAATAATTGATATCAAATATTAACATGATAATTATATTTCATGAAAAATTAAATTAATAAATAAAGTAAAATCTCAATAAGTCAAACTTCTTTAACTCAAATTTTATTTTTGTTCTGACCTAACTCCCATGATGCAATGTATTCTGTGTTCTATAAGTTAAGTAGTTTTGAAATCACAATTCGCTATCTTGAAACTTAAAATTCAGAAATTTTATTTTATTTATGTCTAATTTTGTATGCTTTCTTTTGAAGTTTGAATGGAATGGATAATACTATCATGAAGTTGAAGATTGATATTGTATTATGTGAAATTCAAGATTTTAACAATGTTTCATACCTAAATTAACAATCTTATTCTTAAACATAAATTGACCAATAAAATTTTAGAATTTAAGATCATTATTATTATTATTTTTTTAAACATTTAGATTTAAAAAATTTTTAAATGTAATGAACACATCTATAATTTGATAACTATTCTGTTACTGGCCAATCAAATTTATGAGTTCATCTATTTATCTCCTTATTTGGAATCAATATTCATACCATACAAATTTCATTGTAAAGTTTGACTTATATGCTGACATTTTCTTTACTGACACAGTAATCAGTTAATCAACATACCTTTTCTGTTATCAACAAAATAGTCAACGAATCACAAAGACTAGGAAGGAAAGCAAAAGAGAAAAAAAAGGAAAAATTTTAAAAGAATATGGCATTCCATTGAATAGTCTCTCTACATACATTTGAAAAACAAAAAGAGGATTTTAGAAAGCTTCAACAAACAAAAGAATCAGACAGAACAGAAAAACATACAAAAAACATGAATATCCAAATGCTGAAAAATTTGTGCTTATACAAGTGTTTTATACAGATGAATACTGCTATCAATGGAAAACTTCTTAGAAAAAATTGAATAATTCAGAAAACAGTTGAATCATACCAAATTGAAAGCAACCCACAGGTAGCTAAATAAATTTAAAGAGAGGCATGGAATGACTCAATAAAATCTGTGGTGAAAGTGCAGAAGTGTAAGAGGAAGATTGCGCAAAGTGGTTGAAAGTTTACCACAAATTGTACAAACTATATCCTAGATGACATGGGCTTATTTTTTAAATGTCTGCCAGACAAAAACAATAGTGTTCAAACATCAGAGGTAAAAAAAAAAGCAAAGAATATGTAAATGACAATAACAATAGCAGTTTTTCATTGCCTAATTGGAAAATCTTTAAAGTTTCAATGTTTTTGCAGATATCAAGACAGCAAATGTACAATAGCTATACAATATATATAAGCCATTGACACCACTGTCATCACTGTATATCTCTCACAGTATGCCTAGAACAGCCACTAGGGGCGTCCCCCTAGCTATTATTTAAATTAACAATAAATTCAGTATATTATTATTGTAATAGGAATTTATTATTAAATGAATATTATAACGACTATTGGAACTTCCTGATCTAATAATCTGGCATCAGGAACAGTATGGATAACTAAAATGACTTGTACTGTACATCTCAATCATTCAGCCTTTTGAATGAGTTTCAAAAAACTTCCTAATTAAGAGAAGATTAATAGACAAGTAAAAAATAACAGGAATTCATTTAAACAGTTTCATTTATTTAAAACAATTCAAGAAATTTGTTAAAATCAATATAATATTTATTTTTGAAATTCATACTTAAAAAATTGAATATAATGGAAAATGTAACCTTTTCTAAATAATTTCAACTGTTTTTTAAACTTAACAATTTTTTAAAAATCCTTATATTATATATTTTAAAAACATTTGTTACCATTTGACTTATTAAATGCTGAATTGTGTTGTTGATAAAATCATCATCTAATAGACTATATTTTGTTGTGTATTCGTTTACTTCTAAATTTTCCAGTCTTAGAGTCATATTTTCATTGATATAAGATTGGAGAATTTTCAATGAATTCTGAAAATAAATATTTTTATTAAAATAATATATACTAATTATATTTCATTTAAATGCATGTTTAAATTTAAAAGTACAAAATTTATATTAATTATCCAATATATGAAAGCACATAATTTAAATTTCTTTATATAACACTTTTGCCAATTTTTTTTTAAATAAGAAAGCAACATTAAATAAATAAGTTAACTAAAGTTATAAATTGATTATTATTTTCAGTATTGCTATTTGAAGGAAATATATCAGAACAGGATTTGAAACAAACTTCATCTGATAAGTGCAAATTGTATTCAGATAATCTTTTGATTTTCTTTATTTAATAGAAAATTAAAAATCACACACATTTTCATTCTCCATTTGTAATTATCAATTCTTCAAGTTACTGTTTAGTTTACAATAAACTGTTTAATTAAATTTTAAAAATATAAGTTATTAAAAAATATTAATAGAATTTGACAATTTTTGCTATTTAGTATATTTTACTTAGTTTAAACAATGCATTTATTAACAAAGAAAATTACAGAAATTTAAATAAAAATTCTGATATAAGTGATCATTTATAAAAATGTCACAATTTAATAATTCAATTTAATATCACAATTATTTTAGCAAAATATTTCAGTTGTATATATTTTTATTTGACTTTAACTGAATAACAAATCATAAGCAAGAAATAATTTAACAATATATTACAATTAAACTCACAAATTACTATTTCTTATTTTAGAATGATATTAATTAGTAGAAATTGAATATATTAATTTGTAATTCTTAAAACAAGAATGCTGAATTTATATAAATATCTAACTCATATAANTTTAAAGAATTTTTCTATATTTTTAGTGTTGTATAGATAATTACCATATTACATTGAATTTAAGATGCATCCCAATTTTAAAAAGGAATTTTTAAGCTAAATCAGTGTAGTCCATATAAAATTGGCAGCATCATTTATTATAATTAATAATTATCTGTTAAATATGCAGTATGTTATGTGATTGAAGTAATCATAAATTCTATATATTAATGTTATGTACAGTACATATTAATATTCTTTTTAGAGATTATTAATAAAAAGTATTGTATTACCAAAGGATCAAATTAAACTCTCAAAAGATTGTGAAAGAAGAAAAAAAATGGAACAGTCAATCAAACATAATTTGATGATGTGCTTTTAGAAAAATATGATGATAAATTTAGGATTTAATGAATTAATTTTAGTTAATTATTCTAAAATGCAATGCAGGCATAAACTTCAGTTACAAGTGTTGGGAATAATGCTCTAATCTGTGTACCACCACCACAAAAAAAATTACAAGGATTTGAATTTGTCATAGTGATAGAATCTTGTCTCATTGCCATCTAGACAAAATATTAAAAAGACATGTTGGCGTTTTAAATTGTGTCTCTGAAATTCATTACATTTCCTGACTTTGCATTTATACAAGATATACATTGGCTCATCTGTATACAAGATAAGCCAAAGATCATCATCTGATTTTTTAAACTAAATTTTATGAAATCAATAAAAACAGTATAATGTGTATATATATATATATACAAGGATGGTAAGGATATATATATATATATAAATTTATTTGTAAATCCAAAAACTAATCAATCTTCAGATAAATCATTAATTACAACAATTATAAACAAATAAATATTTACCTTCACAAAATCAACATCATTTTTAGAATTTTGAACCATCTTTGTTATATCAACATGTTGCTGCTTCAATTCTGTAACAGTTGATTCAACTGCAGTAACTTTACTACCAACATTAGCAACATTCTAAAATAAAATGTTAAAAATCAGTTTCATGGAAAAATTATTACTGTTACAATAATGACAGAACATCTGTTACTTGGTTTTAAGATTTTATAAATTAATTTTAGCTAGTTATTTTACTGCTATTATAACTATAAAATTTTAAAGAATTTTTCTATATTTTTAGTGTTGTATAGATAATTACCATATTACATTGAATTTAAGATGCATCCCAATTTTAAAAAGGAATTTTTAAGCAAAAGAAACTAGATGATCATTAGAAGTAAATATAGTTTAATAAAATGTTTTAAAAGAGTGAAAATATTAATAATGCATTTAAAATAATAATTAACAGAAACAAAAAATAAAATATTAATTTATATTTCTTTTATATTAAAATAAAAGAAATAGTTTTATAGTTTATAGTTTATGTAAACATAAAATAAAAAAATTTTCAAAAATAACTATTTAAAACAATGAGGTCAAGTAAAAAAATTTTATATTATTTCCACTATTACATACAGACTTCTGAAGAATGACAAAAATACTCCAAATATAAGATACAACCTAATTTCAAGTTCGGAAATGTTAAAAATGGCATCTTAAATCTGAAGTGAAATCATGTATTAACTTAATGTACTTATTCAATAAAATGTTTTAAGAATTTAATTTCTAAAATTTTAATAATAAAATTTCAAAAGTACTCATTTGTTCAGTGGCATTAGATGAATAATTATATGAATGCATGTATAATATATCTATTAATAAAAATTGAAAAATCATTTTAAACAATTGGAATTAGATATAACAAATATCAGAGCAATTGATATATTTTTTACAGGTTTAAACTTGAATTATCATTGATCAATGTAAATAGCAATTGCTACTTAAATTTATTCATACTTAAGTTTTAATTGTAGTTTCACAAATTATCTCTTATTGTTATTTATTGAATCTACATTTAAACTTTGTTAACTTTTCAAAATCATAACAAAAAAAGGAACTATTTAAATTACAAGAATTAAACAGAGAATAAATTATAAAATTCATTTACAGTCGACCCCCCTATAATTACGATTCCTATAAAACTGCGAAAAAATTGTGACGGTATCCGTAAAAAAAAGGTTAAAAAAACTTCCTATAATTACGTAAAACGTCATCGGGCAGCCGAACTACTTTCCTGCCGTCCTCAGCACCATGCTACGGAGAGATTTCTATCGTCTGGACAGTATTATATAAATTACATATAAATTAGGTACTGTACAGTACATATAATTATATATTAATTATATATAAATTAGGTACTGTATATATAATTATATATTAACTTATTGTAACTTTATTATAATTAAATATATAATTTCTGCCATGTAGCGTGGCGCCACGCTACGGAGATTTTACGCTAACTATCGTCTGTACAGTATGTAAATTAGGTACCGTAAGTCTAATACAGTACTGTAATTTTATACATTTCTTGTGAAAGAAACATTTCTTATTCAACGGCGATTAAAATTATTTATATTAATGATGTCTCCGAAGTTCTACGAAGTTTTCACAGAAAAATAAGTTGTTAGAAATCGGCCGCTCTTTGCTGAGCTGTTCCGCGACGAAAACAATGTTGAGCAATGGCAATGTCGAATGGTGACACTCGGTAAGTAATCCTACAATTTTTTGTTTATAGCGTAGTTTATACGGATTATTCCCAAAAATAATATACGTATTTTGGAAATGTTGAGTCAGATTAGTCTAGAATCGATTAATTTTATGGAAGAAAACCTTTCAATCAGCCGTAGTCCGTAAACTTCACATGTGTCGGGCTGTGATTGGAAGGACTCGTAAGAAATCAGATTCCTAAAGAATGGAACGTATCTATGATCTTATAGGGGGGTCGACTGTAGAAGCATTTGAAATATTAAGGTTAAAATTTTAAATGGCTTTTGACTTACTTGTTAGTTAAAATTCTTAATCCAACATAATTATTATAAAAAATAAAAAGTGAAATTACAAACTGTATGTAAAAAACTATATTTTTTAAACATATGCTACCGTATAATTGTTATTTTATAGTAATAATTTTTTTATTTTTTAAATTATCACCAATTTTTTAAATTATCACCAATTTAAAAAATATTTGTACAATAAAATCTACTTATTGTAATCATTTTGGAACTTGCCTAATAACATTAAGCAGAGTAAATATATAAGACTAAGATTAGTGAAAATTCAGGTTTTATTCACTCTATTAAAAGGACGTTTAAAGTAGTTAATTAACCAAGTAATACATTTGTTTAATTATAACAACTGTTAACTGATTCATCCAGTGTTTGCTGCTTTTTTAGTATTGCATTTGACAACAGCTAGTGTATAATTGAACTAAGAAGTTCAAGCAATTTAAATTTTTCAACTGTGAGAAAATAATGATTCATGTTTAAAGAACTAGCTAAGACTTATAACAATTGCATCATTGGAGTTGGTAAAATGAAAAGATATATCATTAAACTGATATTTTTAAACTAAGATAATGATAACTATAAATGAATCTCTGTTTACAATAGGAAAAGTTTTATAAGTGTACAGTCAATCTCCCTATAAGATGGTAGATACGTTCCGTTATGAGTCAATTTTGTAGGAATCACAGCCAATTACAGCCTGATACGTGTGAAGTTTACGGACTATGGCTGTTTGAAAGGTTTTCTTCCATAAAATTAATCGATTCTAGACTAATCCGACTCAACATTTCCAAAACACGTATATTTTTTTTTGGAAATAATCCATATAAACTACGCTATAAACAAAAAATTGTACAACTACTTACTGAGTGTGCACCATTCGACATCGCTGTTGCTCAAGCTTGTTTTCGTCGCGGAACAGCGCAGCAAACCGCGGCCGGGATTTCTGATGTTATTTTTCTGCGAAAACTTCATTGAACTTTGGAGATATCATTAATATAAATAATTTTAATCTCCATTGAATAAGAAATGTTTCTTTCACAAGAAATGTATAAAATTACAGTACTGTATTAGACTTACGGTAATAATTTACATACTGTACAGACAATAGCTCGCCTAAACTCTCCGTAGCGTGGCTCTAGATGGCGGAAAGTATATATATAATTATAATAAATTAAGTTAATATATAATTATATATACAGTACCTAATTTATATATAATTATATGTACAGTACAGACAATACTAAACTCAATTTACCCGCCTAAACTGTCCATAGTGTGGCGCTGGACGGCAGAAAGTAGTTTGGCTGCCCGATGACGTTTTACGTAATTATAGGAGTTTTTTTACCGTTGTTTATGGATACCGCCACAATTTTTTCGCCGTCTTATAGGAATCGTAATTATAGGAACCCGTCTTACAGGGGGATCTACTGTATTTTATATTCATTTTAACTTTATATTTGGAATGTGCCAATTCTGATAACATTAAATGAATAATAATGACATTTTATCAGTGGATTCTACAGAACATATCTTTCTTCCAAGCCATTTTTTAAACAGTATTGCTAATGAAGATCTGTCAGTTATGTAAAAGAAATACACATTAAAAATTAATTATAACATAAATACAGTATATTCTTGATAATCTGTGCACTATCAAGTATTGCTAATGGTTGATGATGAAGATGAGAAATAATGTGCTTGAACATTATTTCTCATCTTCATCATCAACCATTAGCAATACTTGGTCAATTTAGCAGTTGTGTATATTTATAGATCTTCTACTGTAGCTACTGGAGAGGCAGAGAAAGATTGATTATTTTCTAATATGCAAATTTCTAAAACTTAAGGTCAGTTAGTAAGGCTTTTACTAGAGGATTTATTAGTTCCTGAAAAAAGTACAGTGCAGTATAGTATATGTACTGGATTATCTATATTACTTCATGATATATATATACTGTCTCATATTATTAGTATAGATCAGTGTTTCACAAACTTTTCAGACTACTGCTCCATTTTAATTCTTGCTGCTCCATTCTTGTATGTATGTATATACAGGTATACCTCGACTTACGTCGTTTCGAGTTACGTCGTTCCCGATTATACGTCGTTTCGAGTTACGTCGTTCCCGATTATACGTCGTTTGTCAAAAAAGTATATGGAAAAATAAAAATCAAGTTTAAGTCATTTTATTCGACTTTACGTCTGTTCGCCACAAATATTGAAGTCGTAATATCACTAGAAAAGCGTTTAAAGCACATAAAATCACATTAAAATATATACATTTACAAGTATGTACTGTATTTACAGTACATGCATTCGTAAATTTAGATTACTTTTTTTGTACTATATTAAAAACTAAAATTTAATAAAATTGTTTGTAAGCTTAATAAATAAAATACAGAACCGGGAATGGTAATTTATGGTTTAGCCTAGTGACAAGTAGATTGGGAGAGAAGTAAATTCGACTTACGTCGCTTTCCTGGAACCAATTACCGACGTAAGGCGAGGTATACCTGTATATATATATATACAAGGATGGTAAGGAGGTAAGGAGTGCTAGGGGTGTATTTTTGTTCCTCTTGTTTTCAAACATCCCTAGCATCCTCACCTCCTAGCATTTCTCAAGTCTTCTACCACCTTCAAGGGGTAGAAGCACCTACTTTGGTAATCACTGGTATAGATAATCAAAAGTACAATATATATTAAAATGTATTACATGAATATAATTAATAAATAAAAAATTTATATTTTTATTAGAGCAACTTATTAATCTTACCTGCAATAATGATTTCACATCCTGTGGTAATTTTTTAATTTCAGGTACTGCTACAATACTTAATTTCAAATTATCCGTGATTAGTTTTAAATCCTTTACCTATTCATAAATTTAAAATAATTGATTAATTGTATTAAGTAATATTCAAATAAATTAATTGTACAGAAATAATTTTTAATTATACATATATATATGAAAAATTATATAATATAAAATGGATTAGAATTTAAAATGGAAAGAACTATTAAAAAGGCTATAGAAATATAAATAACTCTAAACAAAGTCAAATAATTTGAGAATTATGAAAATTTACTTAATACTATCATAAAGAGAAATGAGCTTAATTTTAATCAGAATAAATCACGTATATTAAAATACCATAGTTTCTATTGATAATTATCTAGAATGGAAGAAATTACTTTATAAATAATTGAAATATCTATAATTGTTAAATATATCTACATTTCTTTCTAAATTTCAAAATAATTTGTTTCAAGAAGCTAAACATATTTTTTGAGAAGCAATTCTACATCTCTGTGTATGGAGATGAACCCTATTTCTTTTATGTTGTTTGTTATATTCTATTCTGTTACATTAAGGAAATTTTATTTAAAATTAGGCAAAGACTTCACACTCCCAGCCATAAAAATTTAAAATTGTCCTTATCTACCATTTGCTGTCTTCAACAATAATGATATTAATCATATGACTATAATAATTTAGAAATAACAATTAGAAAAATTCAATTAAGAAAATGTTAAGTAGTTATAACTGTATTATAATGCATTCTTAAACAATTCCCTGCTAGAAATTATTACAAGCAGCAGTAAAGATTTAGTGTCATGTCCTACACCAGAGTTTTTCAACCTTCTTGAATACATGACCCCTTTACAAGGTAAAAAATTCTGGCGACCCCCAGAGCCATATTAAAACTATATCGATGATTTTAAAAACTACGTATTTAATTTTCTTTCTGTTGAGACCTAGGTATCGATCGAAAAACCAATTGTACTGTAAAATAAACAGGCACAGCCTTCTCACTGAAATTGTAGTTTTTTTTATTGTAGTGTAGGACCTACAAACACTTGGCTCTTTCTTTTACTCGCGACCGCCCTGGGGGTCACAACCCACAGGTTGAAAAACACTATCCTACACCAATGTAAATGAGATATATAGCTTGTAACCATGTAATGTCATTACACCAACTAATACAAGTATATGACAGAGATATCAATGGTTGAGGTAGTATATTTGCTAGCAATATTAGGCAGTTGAAATCAAAAGAGGTTTCTAGCAATTGGAAAATTCTAGAATTTTGTCTTGTCTTGACTTGCAAAGGCACACAATTCAATTTGTTTGGATTAATTGTTTGACTTGCATTTATTATTTGAATAAAATATATTCATTGAACAATAACCTTAATTGTATGACTTTTTTCTGAAAAATATCTGTTTGTTAAAATTTGGTACTAAGAATAACTCCATTTTTGTCAAGCTTTATAACCTTATCAAATTAAATTAATATCATTGTTTGACAAATGTATTGCAAGTATCACTAAACTTTACACCTGTAACACATCTATCACATTTTTTGTTAATCACTGTAATTACAAATGATATTCAGATACATTTTTATATTATTCAGTAATGTAAATATTGTAGAAAATATTTTGAATAAATTTTAAATTAATTCAGTGTTGTATGCACAATGTTATAAATATATTATTTTAGAACTTATTCATTTAGATATATGGAAGATTGTGATTGTGTATACAGATTTGTATAATTCATTTAACTATATGAAGTTTCATTTTAAGTATGTGTGCTTTAAGTGTACTTTCACTTAAGTACACTTAAGGGTTTTATTAAATATACAGTGGAGTAATAATGTTTGTTGATTAAACTTTTCAGTATACATACAATTTAAACTATGACTCTTGTATGATTTTTGAAATACTATAATGCATGTACAGTTTAAAATAACAATATCTAAATACACAAAGTAGAATAATTTTTGTATATTATAAATAAAAATGGAATCTTTCTGAAACAAAATTTTATTTTAAACCAGAAACAAGCATTAATGGAAAACTACAAAATTAAATACAAATGTTTTATGTTTTGCATTATCTATATATATAAAAATGAATGTATGTCTGTCTGTGTGTGTGTCCTTCATGCATTACCACACCGTTTATCCGATTGCCGTGAAACTTTGGGAAGTTGTTTAATATACTCCAGCGAAGGTTTGTGGCATAGTACGATTGCCATGAAGCTTTGGAAAGTTTTTAAAATTTTTAATACACTTCCGCGAAGTACATTCATCCTACGATAGATGGCGCGCGTTTACACGAGCATTCACGCACAGTGTGTTCGATCGATTTCAAATTGTGAAGACCATTTCCCCCTTCAAAAAATATCTCTATATATGCATTTGTGAACTGTTATTTAACGATATTT